GAAAGAAAGACTGAAAGAAAAAAAGAAAGAAAGAAAGAACGAACGAAAAACCGTTAGAACGAACGAAAGAACGAAAACAAACAAAGGGCTGAATCCTCAAACTCAACTCAAAAAGAAAAAAAAAGAATATCTGACGGAAATCCCGCGGGGTTAATTAATAGCCCAAAGTAGAAGAAACAAGACACGTTGAATAGAAAGAAAAAAAATCCGTGTCTACTTAAGAGATTGAATATTTTCATGTCATAAGAACGTAAGACGCCCGAGAGAAGTTCATATTTATAGTAATAAATCTTTCTAGAACAACATTAGCGACATCCAAGACTATGAGGGTAATTTACTAAACCTAGGCAACCAATGATGCCGACGTCACGGGGCTATGTTTCTATGGCGGTAATGGACAATTGAAAATAGTAAAACGCTATAAAAATAAAAGTCTAAAAATAAAATATATCTCTGATATCTCTGTTGCGCGGATTTGTTGCGAGTGACTAGTTTGCTTCGGGGCGTGGAAAATCCGGAATTTGGTGTCCGGAAGATACGGACGCGTGAGCATCGAATGTTCGGGATGTTTCTTAACTGAACATGTCTGGCAAATATATTTTTGGAAATGAAGTATTCAAAAAGCTTTCATTGTTATTGGTCAAAAAAAAAAAAAAAAATACGGAAACAAAATAAAAAAGAAGGAAAGAATTGAATGAAAGAATGTGTCGTTGTTTTTGAAAATCTATGGCGAATATCGCAACAAACCGTTTTTAATAATACTCAAGGGAACGCTGAATGTCCTTATGCACAACATAACACGCGAAATCAAAATTCCTCTCTGATGAGCGGGAGAAAAATATAGCAATAGCCATTCCATTAATGGCGTGTATACACAGTTAGAAATCGTAGCTGCCAAGATAATTGAAAGCACGCAAGAAAATTAGGATAGGAAGTCATAAAAAAAGAAAGTTACCGTTTCGTTTGACGGGGCGTTTTTTTGTGCTGATAGTTTTGATATATTTACTGATAAGATCGGTCCAATTTAGATTACGATGTTGTCTTATGAGATTTTAGTTATATATATTTTGTTTTGAATCTTAAATCACGAGTAAGGTTTAGTTTTCTTGACATTACGTGTAGTGTTAGTAAGGAAGGGCAGAAAGGCATGGAAAAATTACATGGGATTTTGAGTTAATAGAGATAAATATTTCCTCTCTATTTTGAGTTAATAGAGAGAAATATTCCTATGGAAAGATAAATTAGGTGTATTATGAAGGAAAGAAAGAGAAGATGGGCAGTGAAGCATGCAGAAATTACATGGGGTTTTGAGTTAATAGAGAGAATTATTCCTATGGAAAGATAAATTAGGTGTATTATGAAGGAAAGAAAGAGAGAATGGGCAGTGAAGCATGCAGAAATGACATGGGATTTTGAGTTAATAGAGAGAGACAAATTCCTATGGAAAGATAAATTAGGTGTATTATGAAGGAAAGAAGGAGAGAAGGAAGGATGGGCAGAGAGGAATTGAGAAATTACATGAGATTTTGAGTTAATAGAGACATATTCTTATGGAAAGATAAATTAGGTGCATTATAAAGGAAAAATGAGAGAAGCAAGGATGGGCAGTGAAGCATGGGGAAAATATGTGAATTTTGAGTTAATAGAGCGACACATATTCTTATGAAAAGATAAGTTAGGTGCATTATAAAGGAAATGAGAGAAGGAAAGAGGGGCAGAGAGGAATGGAGAAATTACTTGCGATTTTCAGTTAATAGAGACATATTCTGCTTATGGAAAGATAAATTAGGTGAAGGGAAGAATGAGAGAAGAGGGATATATGTGATGGGAAGAAAAAGAAAAAGAAAGAGAAAAGGAAAAGAGAATATGAAATGAATGTATGGATGAGAAAAAAGTAAAAAAAAAATTTGATTAATTAAAAAAGTAAAGAAAGACAGACCTGTAGAAGGAATAAAAATAAAAGAAGGACAAAAATGAAGGAAGGAAGGAAGGAATTAAACTTTGCTTTAAGTGATAAAATAAAGACAAACAGAGAGGAAAAAGAAACGGAAAAAAAAGGAAAAAAGAAAAAAAAGATGAATTCAGAAAATTAAAACCTAAATTAAATCTATTGGGAAGAAGGAAAATAAATGATAAATGATCAATTTATATCGACGTTTGCAAGAAAAGATTGAATTCTTGACCTAAAAATTTACAGCTGTACTAGCAGAAATTAAGATACTAATGTTGAGTGAATTTTCTTGAACAAATATTGACTTACTTCTTCAATGTCATACATCAATTACATCTACTTCTGTTCAAATCAAACTGAAATTGTCTGATATTAAGTAGAGTACAAGCATGTACATGTAAATGGATGTATATTATGTAATAAGAAGATATAACTAGCTAAAAACTAGTGTGAGCTGCGTTGGTGTTTCTAATGAAACAGTAACGATGAAAAGGTAAATTATACACCATGAAAAGATGATCTTTTCACGGTGTATAATTTACCTTTTCATCGTTACTGTATCTTATGTAATGTATGTAAGAGAAGAGAAGAGAAGAGAAGAGAAGAGAAGAGAAGAGAAGAAAAGAGAAGAGTAGAACAAATACAGTGTAAATGTCCCATACAGTCGGCAGGCATGCAGCCCACCTTTAACACTGGTTAAGAGGGTTTTACTGTCTTAACCAGAGCTAAAGTCTAGTGTAAATATAAACAGAGTTAAGTAGACATAAACACCAAAATGGTCTAAAAACAGCTTTGTACTGTATATATATATCTTAAAATGGTTGTTACTGTAGTTTGATACGAAGAAGCTATCAATTTGTTTTCCACTTTGGATAACACTTTAAGACAGTGTGAAATACTCAACTCCAGCCCACAAGTAAAGTATCAGAGGTACAGTATTTCTAGAAAAAACATGGTGGCATGAATGGCATGTCAAAGTTGTGCCCTGGAGATTGAAAAAACAATTCTTGATAAACATTTTTAGTATTAAATATGTATACCAGGCAATGCTAAAGGCTGAAACACTGGAAAGAAACATAGGAGTGAACAGATTTTGAATTATATATTTTATAATAACAAACACCTGTCGTAACTTCCAATGTATGATTAATTTTGGGGCTGTCTGGCCAAATGCTGACAGGGGAAAATTGACAAAAAATTTAAATTGGAGTTAGTATGCAATGAGTATGTGGAGTATTGATACTCCTTGGAAGCTGTTTGTGTTTGGGGACAAGCGGGAGCCTTCAATCCTACGAATATCATCATTACCATGCAACGACCATTGGGTTGGGGACACATGGCTAACTTCAGGGTCATAGCCACTGGTCTGGTTGCTTTCGGGCAAAAAAATATTTTAAAAAATGAAATAAAAAAATGTAAGAAAAAACGAAGAGCCTTGAAAACCTGACCAATCAGAAATTTGTGGCTACTGCACTGAACTTACAGATTGGATCAGAATTTAGCATGTTTGGTTAAATCGCAATGGAAGGAAAACTTGGGAACCCCGATAAAAACTCTTGATTCAATGGAGAGATGGAATAAGCTAGATTGACATGTGATGCAGTGTCCAGGCATCAAACCCAAGACCCCAGAGGTGAGGGAGGAGTGTATTACCGCTATGCTACCAGGAGCAGATCCAGGGGCGCACCCCTCCCTGGTTCCACTTAATTGTGCCCCTACTTCCAAGATAACCAATACTGTTTTTTCCCTTTAATTCTAAGGGTGCACCCCTCCATGGGTTAACTTTTTGCACAGCACCCCTCCCTGAACAAAATCCTGGATCGCCCCTGGCTACTCCTCATACTCTAAGCTATCAGCCAGTATAGGCTCTTCTAATTTTATACTAGACAATATTCAAACCTTGGTGTTCAAGCCAGAATTAGTGTAGAAGCTCCCCATTAATTCTGATCATCTTCTAACAAACCTTCATTCTCTTTCTTCAAGTGTTCATCAACTATCTGCTGTATTTTCTTAATTCTCTCAGTTAGTTTTGGATGCTGTTGCATCTTAATTTCATTTCCATCTTCGTCATAGTATGACAAACCTTGGTCGCCATGGAGAGCTCGTAGCACTTGATTCAATTGTAACCTCTTGCTTAAGTAATTGACCCCTCCCAAAGCTGCTTCCAAATCAGTTCTTGCCGACATTTCATCTGCTAAAAATTCCTCCTTATGTTGGATCTCCTTGGTAACACGTTTGTAACCAAGGTAACTAAGCCTGAGAATACACACCTTAAGGATTACGTCAACCAATACAGGCAAAGCTGCTAGTCTGGGGGTAACTGATGCTAACTTATAAGTAGCAAGTAACCATGATGGCGAAAGAACTGCATTTATTACTTTATACTCAGGGGATTGTAGATGAGCTATTTCATGTCCAATAGTAAAAGAAATATTCTCAGGAGTGGAGATTAGTGAATCTTTGATCTGAGATCCCATTTCAGATTCCCATTTTATTGTCCTTCCTTTGAAATTTATAGGAGAATTCATAACATCTTCAGGAGTTTTAAACTGATACCAACCAGGGATCCCTACAACAGCTCCAGTTGGTAACGATGTCGAACCAGCACTGAAGCCACTGAAGCCTTTATTCACGAACAGAGTGACTCTATCAGGGTTCTTTAGGTTCATTTTTTGCGCTCTTTCCTTGAACTGTTCTCGACAAGATTCAGAAACATTTTCTCCTTCTGAACCAAAAGCACTGAGACAAATGTTCACTGGCAAAGCATGTGGTACTGTGTGGTATAGAAAAAGCCCACCAGCTCCAATGCCTACAGATACACGAACAAAACGAACAGCGATTCTGCCAGCTAAATCAAAGGCCATGACACAAACTAAGCAAGAAGAAAAATCAGAAAAATTTTCCCTTCTGCAAGGAAGATGGCGGTTGATGTTCTACACGTGACACACTGGGGTTCCTGTGGACTTCTGCACCACAGGTAACCCGTCAAACTTCATCAAAAGGTCAAATGGCGGTAAGTTTGATTTTATAATTTTCCTCTGCAAAGTTAGGCTTTCAAAATTAGTCTCATATTCCGTTAAATTTCAATTTTTAAAAGAATTTATTTTCATTGTGTATAATATTTTAATGTAGAGACTAGCTACTCTATTTTAGTTGTCAATTTTAGCTGTATTTTAACTTCTGTTTCTGGTGTTGTTGTTGATATTTATAAAGGGGTGGTTTAATTCTCATTTTGTAAAGGAATATTTCATTGTGAAACCACCTAAAAGAGGACTTACAATTCTACAAAGCAATATCAAGTTTTTACTTACAGTATTTCTGTCATATAATTACCTTATTCATATGCAAATGAGTTGGATAGCAAACTTGACCTTGCCATCCTTATATAATATTCAATTTTTTATTTCAAAATCATTTCTCCTGTGTGACATGTCTAAAATCTGCGTGCTCTTTTCATTTTTGTGACACAACTCCTTGGTGTAAGTGGAGTAGGGTCACAATACGTCCCTCTTATTCTACGGTCCAAAGTTATAGACCTTTTTATTGATGTGGTAGCCATCTTGAATTTTGGGATGTTGAGGGGACAACAGAGACAATTTTGAAGCAAAGAATAACAGCTAGGGTTATGTTTTCAAACAGTTTGAGCTTTTGGTGTTTTTGGATTAACACAGTGCAAAACAGTTAAGTTTTTGGCTTTTGTTAATAAAAAAAACTCATGCTAGCCCATTGGACGTTTGACTTACCGAAGCCAATAACCAAGACCTCTATCTCTGGGCCACATTAAGCTGTTGATGTTGAACAAGAGAGGTGACTTTTTGTAAACAGCAATGGAGAGGAGGGGGTTAAAATTCTTCTATGGGTTACCTTGTAGGTGAATCCCGATTATGTATTCCCCCCTCCCACCATACTTAGAGTAGCTTGGCTCAAACTAGTAGTCAGTATTTCTCCCAACACCCAAGCTTAATGCTTGAGTTGAGTATTTTTCTTTTCAACGGCAGTTACACAGAAGAACCCTAGGACACAACACAAACTTTTTTTGTGTGAAAAGATTTGCAAGACCAGTGAGAAGGTGAAATAGACCATTTTCTCAAGGTTGTGTTTCGTCATTTTCTCAAATTTAAGAAATTTGTTGGGCCTAATACTAGAACACAAGCTTTATAATGAGAATTATCATATGTTTCTATAAGATTTTTCAGAAAAAGAATCCATTAAATTATTATTCCCCTATTTAAATATAAAACTGGCTTCTCAATTTTACTGAATTTGCATTTTTCAGGCACTTTGTGGCCAGTCAAGATTGGATGCGCACACAACCTTGAGAAAACAGTCTATTAGTGCACATATGTAAAAGAGGTGAGTCAATGATTGAGCTTACAAAGGTAAGAAAAGTTTTAAATTTTTAAGTTCAAAAAAAGATACAACTGAGTAAAATTCCTTTGCACATATATGTATATGTAAATTACATTGTAATATATAAGTTAAATATCTAACTCCAATGACAATGTAGTTTAAAAACTAAAAAAGGTTTTAAAATCAAAAATGTTGCACTTTTAAGACTGGCTTCCATCCTGCACTCCAGCCAATTTTTTGTGCACAACTTCCTCTAACAATCTTAATCGTTCTGTCAGCTTTGGATGTGTATAATTCTTGAGTATTTCACCTTTTTCGGAAAACATCAGTTTTCCTTCTTCTCCATATAAAACCCTTAGTACAGAGTTAAGATGCAACCTTTTAAGAGTAAAATCTACTCCTCCCAGAGCCATGCTCAGATCTAACTCGGCAGCATTCTTATCTGCAGCAAATTCTTGTCGTAATTTAATTTGTCGGGTAGTTATAGAATATACGAGGTAGCTCAAACAACAGACTATGATTCTGGCACTGAAGTTTACAATTCCAGGGGTCTTGGGAAGAAATCTTTGATTTTCAAAGGTGATTTTATAAGTTGCATATAACCAAGCCGGGGCAATGGGAACATCATACAATAAATCTGATCCCTGAATGTGGCTTAATTCATGTCCAATCAGAAAAGCAACATTATCATCACTGGCGATCAAAGAACTTGCGAGCTTTCCACCAAGTTTACTTTTCCAGTTCACAGCCCGGTTCTTAAACGTTAGTCCCGAGGCAATAACATCAGCTTCTTTTTCAAAGAGAAAAAACTTTGGAAGCCCGATTACAGCGCCTGCAGGAAGCCATACAGCTCCAGCTGATATAGGCGAATACCCATTACATATAAATAGCTTTATCTTGTCTTCTTCGTCCTCTTTTCCTAATCGTTTGAGCACCTTTTTAAGCTGTACTTGACAACGCTCTGGGACAGGAACAGCTGAGGGAGGAAGCTCAGAACTTGATTGCGATTTCCACTCCGTTACATTTCGACAAAATCGTTCTGGAAGAACATGAGGCGCAGCTTTAATAACAAACGTAGCTCCTGTAGCTATTCCTACCGTTATTTTAAGCAGTTTCTGCCTAATTGATGCCATAAAAAGAAAGAAAAATTATACGCTTCTTCAAACTTTTCAGATTCTACTTCCAGAAGGTAGTTAAAGCCAGGCGTTCCTAAATCTATCGAGAGGGACTAAAAACTAGCCCCCAGTCTTTTTTGTTTCGGGAATTTTTGAAAAAGTAAATGGATAAATGGAAATTGAAAAAAAATCTAAAAAAAGATAAAGGTTTTTTTAAAGGTCTTGATTTTTCTCAACATATCAATATGAAGCATAAAACTTAATGTTCAGCGAAATTTTATATTCACTTTTGTGTTATCTGGATCTGTTGACTGTGCGATCTGGTAAAACAACTGTATGCCTAGCCGTCGCCAAATCGCATATAAGTTGTAAAAAAATATTTATAAAACGATTTATATCGAAAAATTACTGCACTTTCCATCATCGAAAGCGAGTAATATTGATTTTACAAGCGTCTAAATGAACCAGACATTAAAGGGCCAGAATTTATTTATTTTCGTTGGGGCAGAGGTCATCGTTGATCACGCTTCTTCATCAAAGCTTTAAAACAATAGCTTCAAAATGTAAAACTAATGTTTATGTGCTCTGAATGCTTGGATTTTGTTATGAGAATTTAAGCGTGAGATGTAAAGATAGGGGTTGTACTTGTATCTTGAGCTGTGCAGCTTTCGATAAACAAGGAAAGAGACCGTATTTTGTCCACGTGTTTGAGAGCAAGTGGCGCTATTTTTTTGTCTTGGGTACTCATACAAAATGCTTCACCTATACTATGGTAGCCCAGCTATTGAGGCTTTAGGTGGTGGACGCGGTTTTTCTCCATTAGCGCAACGAGGCAGAACAGCATCTCATGGACAACATTTGAATTTATTCCCAAACCTTGTATTCAAGAGCAGCAAGAAGACAAAAAAGTTTGCTGAAATCCGAGGAAGCTCGTTGGATCTCCCTTTAAGTGAGGACAATAGTTTGGTACGTATTAACGTAAGTGGTAAAATCTTCGACTTTTCTCGAGCAATTTTGGAGAAATACCCTGACAGCCTGCTCGCTAAACGTAGTCGCGCAGGAACGTACTATGATTTTGATCGAAAGGACTACTTTTTCGACCGCAGTCGCATCGCCTTCGACAGCATTTATCACTTTTATCAGACCCAAGGACAAGTTGTATTCCCTAAGGACTTTCCTGAACAACTCGTCATGGACGAGTTTCATTTCTTCGGTTTGTATGACTACATGGATCCTAACGAAAAACAACAGTTTGTGCAACCAAGCGACATAATAAAAGAAGAAATTGTACCAAAGTACGACTGGCAGCGAAAGATGTGGCAGCTTATAGACCACCCAGAAACGAACCTAGCCTCTAAAATCATCAGCATTATCTCTCTTCTCGTCATAGCTTTGTCAATTGTTATCCTCTGCGTAGAAACGTTGCCCTCTGTGCGGAGTCGACGTAAGAGAGAAGGCACCGGATTTTACAGATCAGAAATTTTCGTTCTCGAAAGCTTTTGCATCATATACTTTACGATTGAGATTATCTTACGATTTATTGCTTCACCAATCAAATCAAAATTTTGGTTAAAAGTCCTGAACATCATCGACCTTCTAGCTATTCTACCTTATTATATTATCCTTGGGTTGGAGAACGACTACAGCAATAAGAGCATCGTAGCTCTAAGAGTCTTCCGACTTGCCCGAGCTTTTCGGATCTTAAAAGTGTCTAGATATGTATCTGGTATGAAAGTACTTGGTCAGACTCTACGGGAGGCCTTGAGCGACCTTTGGATGATAGCCTTCTTGACAGTGATAGGGACTCTGCTTTTCGCTAGTTGTGTGTTTTACTTTGAACAAATCTGGGATCCGGGTACGAAGTTTGAAAGCATCCCTTTATCATTCTGGTGGTCAATTGTGACTATATCGACTGTTGGCTACGGAGATATGGCACCGAAGACTTTAGGTAAGTAAGAAAAACCATATAATACTAAAACATCTGAGATAACCAGCTCTCTGCGACGTTAGACTAGAGGATGCCAATCTTCATTGCGTCTCTGTTCGACAGAATATCTTTTCCTGACCGGTTTTTCCCTGTGAGTGAAAGAGTCGGGAATAATCAAGGTCAGAATTGCTGTACTGGAAAGAGAAAAGAGGTTCATTGATGGTGCTGAAAAGATATTATGGTGAAGAGGGCGGACATATTAGGTCAACATATAGGCTATAGTTTTAATAGGAAGAGAAAGAAAGGACTGTGAAAGAAAGGGAAGAATCTAGTAAGGTTGGAATTTATATTGTCCAGATTTACCCTTAAAAACAAACAACCATCAAACATGAAACTAGTACTGTTAGAATGCGTCGGCGTGGAAAAGAAGTATGAAAAGGATAATTGACTTTTAAAAACGGCAGCGAAAAAAAAAAAAAGCAAAAAAAAAAAAAACACACACGTCTTTATTGACGTTTCAAACCGTGACGTCTTCGTCTTGAGTAACAGTTGAGAATAATTGTACTTAATAAGCGTTGGTCGAGATATTTTGAAATTGCTGTCAGGAGTAATGTTTATGATTTATAATCAAAAAGTGTTTGACGACAAGTTATCGACCAACTGACATGCATGAAAATTATCATGAGTCTGGTAACGGCGTACCCTGTCCAATAAAGTTGTTATGTCGTCATAAACTCTGTGATTAAATCGTTTAAAACGAAATGCTAGCTTAGTAATGTTCGGTTTATGATGTTTTCAATTTTATACTTTATACCAGTCTTGTCGTGCAAATTTCAAAAGTCCGGCCTTATAAGAGAGTTCAGAATCACGCAAAATAATTAATTTCGAGGATTCGGGAAAAAAAAACAAAAAACGCGCAGATTAGGTAGTTTTTTTATATCTAACTGAATTTACGTTTTCCCAAAAAGAAGGCTTTTAAGCGAATATTCTTTAAAAAAAAAACTAGTCTTTTTTAAAAACCTTTTCTTGATAATTTTTCAATCGAGACATTGAAGGACTTGCTTATCTTCATATCTATACACACCCTCTGGTGATTTTTACACTCCCCCACGCACTAACAACAACACAATTGCAGTTTAGGGACTAGTTTAAAAACGTCCGTTTAAAAACCGTTTTCAGTTTTTACTGTACAAAATAACCTAGAGTACAAATATCGCAAATATAGCATGATATTTGTACTTGCTCCAGGCTTTCCCCTGTGTTATTCATGTCTACGTACTCTAACTTGCATAGTTCTATTTACTGTATGTGGCTTCAAAGAGGTGGTGTCTTTTATAATGATTAGTTATTTTAGTTCGTCACTGCACAGTGAGATGAGGCCTGAAACCTCAGGTTATTAAAACCTTCGTTTTCCCCCCTTGATCGATAAAAATTGGCGTGACTCATGATGAACCACTGCACAGTGAGATGAAATTATTAATGTAATTAGTATCCTTTGTCGCAAGTATTTTTCATTAAATCCCTAACCTGATGGATCGATGACAATTGGCGTAGTTCATAATGGACCAATGCGCAGTGGGATGAAATTATTGATGTAATAAGTGTCCTTTGTCGCAAGTATTTTTCATTAAATCCCTAACCTGATGGATCGATGACAATTGGCGTAGTTCATAATGGACCAATGCGCAGTGGGATGAAATTATTGATGTAATAAGTGTCCTTTGTCGCAAGTATTTTTCATTAAATCTTAACCTGATGGACCGAAGAGATGATTCTACTTTAATGTCAGTGCAGTTTTGTGAGTGCGCCCTGATACCAAAGTAATATTGCCTTCCCCGTAGCTCAATCCGAGGTGATCTCCGCACAGGCTTCTCTCAGCTTCTCTCTAACCCGTATAGCTTTAGATGCCCTTGAACTAAACGAAGCATTAGGCGGCAAAATGAGCACCATAAGCATCTTTTTATAGCAGTTCAATTTCACTTTAACTCGATGAATACAGTAGTACCTCTATTAAGCGGACACCTTCGGGACCCTGTCTGGTGTCCCCTTAATTAAAGAGGGTTTTTTACAGCAAACAACTGAATTGTCCTTTCAATGAAGGATACCTGCAAGAGAAGATGAACATTCATATTCTCTTGGTACCCGCTTAGCAAGAGGTCCGCTTATTAGAAGTACTAGTATCACAAGTAATACATTTTTCTTTCCCCAGCTGGCAAACTTGTCGGTTCTACTTGCGCCATGTCAGGAGTTCTTCTCATTGCGCCATTGCTTCCAATCATCTACGAACGATGGCAGCGTTACTACCAGCTTGACCAAGACGGAAAACGCATCAGAGCAGGACATAAACTCTTGCGTGACCTGCAAAAAAAGCGATGTCCACCAACTACTCTCGAAGACGCCGTAGAATCAAAAAAGGACAACTCCGAAAAGCAAAAGAAGCGAGAAAGGAAAGCATCTGAAACGAAAGAGAGAAAGATATCTGAGACGAAAGAAAGATCTAAAAAGCCATCGGTTTCTTCCAAGAGTGAAAAAGATGGAGAAGCTGAAACGGAAGAACGATCTGATGATGATCCAGTATGGAAACACATTAAAAGGGCAAGTATAAAACGGAGAGAGAGCAGTCAGAATTTGTTGCGTAGTACAAGTGTTGACAACCAAAACCCTTCAAGCAGGGGATCGTTAACAAGGAAAAAACAGGTTGATGGAAAATCCAGGAAAGGCAAGGACATTGTAGCAAACCATAGTCAAAGCACCGCGATTAAACGTGAACACGAAAAGATCCCCGAAAACAAGAAAGATACCGAGGAACTTCAAAATACTTCAGACAAACCTCGAGGGGACCCAGTATTTCATATTTGTCCCAGTGAAGACGACGTTGAGCGAGAAAAACGATGGGATGAACCAGGTCCAAGTAATGTCAAGTATTAAACTTGAAAGTGGTGGCAAGATTTACGCAGCAGTTTGTCGGCTATTGGAGCAAGAAATTTTGCGCCTGCGATGCTATGTTCAGTTGGCATACTCGCCATTTCTTGTCCCGTCGTCGTGTTTGTGAGAGCTACGTCATTTGACGAACCTAACAAATATTACACATTTTTGAGTTTCATCAATTGTTTAATTCGTAATTCGAAAACAGTGAAGGTGAAAATTCAATCTAAGAAAATGATTTTTATTTATTTATTTATTTATTCATTTCATGTCATTTCATTTCCTCTCATTTCATCTCACCTAATTTCCTCTTATTTTATTTTATTTTGTATTTATTTATTTTAAAAACAACAACTGGCATGGACATGTATAACTGGATTAACCGCACCAGGATGCCCTGAAAAGTACAAAGTAGATTCACATTAACGAAAACCGATTGAAGTAATCAAGTGGCGATGTAATGGAGCTGACGATGGGGAGTCTTTAACTCAATATCATATCCAAATAACATTGAAACTTTGAAGTTGCGAAAGGTTTTTCTATCCGAGACTATGGACAATTCAATTACACGAAAGTATTTTATCTAAAATGAGAAATAAGAAACGAAAGTCATGAAAAATAGAAATAAAAAAATAAATTAACTTTGTTTATAGAGGATAACACAGTAGTTTTTCTGATAAATTTGTTGTCCTCTTTTAACGTCTCTAATTAATTAGGGACGGAACCCCTTAACGTGGTTATCCGTGGTCATCTATTCATGTATGAAAATTTTTTTAAGATTCCTCCTACCTCAGAGCGACGTCTGTAAAAACGTTGTTGGATAGTTTTTCATATATATTCATTGAAGGCGATTAGTTTGTATGCTTTAGAAACAAGATATTTTTTATCTAAGGACTGTTAAAGCGAATTGTGATTCGATTTGATGTAGAAAAATTAAATGAGCTTTTTCTGTAATTATATCTTGTAGTATGTGAGGGTTTTGCTAAATGAAAATAATAAAAAACAATATTCAATTTTGGGAATTGTCATAAAATATTATGGATGGATGGATAGATGGATGGATTGATGAATGGATGGATGAATGGATGGATG